ATCCTGGAAATTTTTAAAAGAAGAAGAAGAAGAAGAAGAAGAAGAAGAAGAAGAAGAAGAAGAAGGGGGTACCTGGGTAGATCAGTGGGTTAAAGCCTCTGCCTTCAGCTCAGGTCATGATCTCAGGGTCCTGGGATTGAGTCCCACATCAGGTTCTCTGCACAGCAGGGAGCCTGCTTCCCCCCCCTCCCCCACCCCTGCCTGCCTACTTGTGAACTGTCTCTGTCAAATAAATGTAAAAAATCTTTAAAGAAGAAAATGAAGAAGAAGGGGAAGAAGACGGCTATACTGAGCGAGAGCTTTGAGCTCGGGATGTATCTCGAAGATCATTTGTTCTACCATAGCAAGACAACAAGAGTCAAGTCTAGAATTCAGATTGCCCCATTCCTGTTTCAACATACTCTAATCTCACCCTATAGTATGAACAATCCAAGAAGACACAACATTCTCAACATTGGCCCTCAGAGTATTTGAATTCCTTAGGTTTCCCATAGAGAACAGGAACCAAGGAAATATGATATCGGGTGATTCTCACAATCCTGGACAGTTACGTCCTACGAAGTTTCCACGAACACCAACTTAGAGTAACACCAAAACAATTGCCTCTGGCACAAATATGGGTTCAGTTCCTCTGAGCCTCTGGTTGCAAATTTTTGTCTATGGATCAATACCGAATCCTGTTTTATTTGCGTTTCTGTTTAAATACATCTTAAAATGTGAATTTGAGTCATTAACATTGAATTCAGGGCCGACAGCACTTTACTGACCTCTGAACAAAGCCCCCCAACAAATCCAGCTCCTCCATGAGGCAGTCCCACTAGCCAGCACTCAGCACTACACTTGGGGGGCACTTTAAACAGCCGTATCACCCACAGAAGGCACAACAATGGGAGAAACATGATACGAGGCAGATTATGAAGCTCCTTGTTTACGCTGTGCTGTACCATGTACAGGACAGTTGAGAGCACGGTCTTCTCTGACCTCAGTCGGGAACACGCACGTCAGGTGACTCAAACTGTACGCTGTTCTCCACGTCTGCAAATGATCCCCACGGCACTGCAAGTGCTGATTTGGGGCTTACAAATACATTTTAGTGAGTGGGGTCATTTACAAATACAGATTCCATGAATAATGGAGGTCAGATCTACAATTATGAATAATTTAGTCTTATTTTTCTCCTGCTAAAGGATCATGGATACCTAGGATAGCATCAAGAGTAATTAATCTGGTTCAGTGAGTTAAGCCTCTGCCTTCTGCTTGGGTCATGGTCTCAGGGTCCTGGAATCGAGCTCCACATCCGGCTCTCTGCCCAGCGGGGAGCCTGCTCCCCCGCCCCATACTTGTGGTCTGTCAAATAAATACATAAAATCTTAAAAAAAAAAAAAAAAAAAAGGTAAATTAATCATAAAATTGTCTCCTCTAATCTTCCCTGGTAGAAAATGTTTATGCTTAGTATGTTATTTTGTGCCTGGACAATCCCTAATACACACATCAGGGGATAATGATAGTTACACCTTGGTCACATGGTTACCAGTGGCCACTTATGTTGGAATATCCATGTTCAGTAAAAAGGCAGAAGAATAAAGAAATTACATAATCTAGGTATCAAAGTACACCTGAAAAGTCTTCTGACATTGTTAAGAAGTAATAGACAAACAAACAGAAAAAGGAACTACAATATAATCTGAAAACTGTTTAAAAATAGAGGAAAATCAGAAAGGTATATGCTGTCAAGCAGCAAATTTGAGAATCTATAGGTCAAGTATTTGCTGCGGAGGATCTTAACTTTGTTCATTGTGCTTTTCCGTATTTTTAAACACACCATCATGTGTTACTATAGTAAATAAAAAAGCTAGTAGAAGTACTATTTTGCAAAAGTAAGACAGACTTTGCCCTACCTTACTTAAGCCATACGAGACAGATCTGTCTCTCTTTGGGACTTTGATTCGAAATTCAGAAAATCTTCCCCATTCTCCTCTTTTATTTCTCATTTCCTTCTTTTCTCACTTCATTATTTATGTTTTCCTGTATTCTTTATCTCTGAAAGCAGCCACTAGCATCCTAGGTGAATTTGCTACCACACTGGCTTTCTCCTGGCTAAAACTTCTCTCTCTGTATTCTAGGTCGGTGTTAATTATTTGAAAAGCTTAAGGCGGAGAACACCAGACAGGAGAGCTGAGACAGGTGGAGGGACAGGCAGTAGAGCCTTGCAGTGGTAGAGATTAGAGGGAGCTGCCCCAGAGTGCCCAGGCGAACATGCAGAAAGGTTCACCTTGAGACAAGAGGTGAAGTTGGGAACCTTTGCCACTGTAAAGGAGGAAGAGAAAAGACGACCTTGACAGCATTCAGAAGCAGTACCTTTGATTTTCTCTTGTAGGAGGCAGGGCTATGTGTTAATAGCTAGGGAGGAAGTTTGGGTTGGTGCTGGGAGGGAGGTGAAGGCATAAAAAATAGGTCCTGAGAGCAATAGGCAGGACAACTACTCAAGGTCAAGTGGAAAGAGAGCTAACCAGTGCCCGAGACCCAGCTGCAACCAGAGGAGACCAATCGCCTTGGCTGTGTCTGCACAGCTAAGCAGTGTCTTCAGCTAAATTAGCAAGCCTGTGAGCCGATGGTCCTACACCCGCCCCAACCTTGTCTTCTCTTGTGTGAGCACCTGAACTTCACTTCTTTCTGTAGCCAACCTGCTCTTCCCATTCAGTCACTTAAATGCTTAGTAGCCAACCTCCTTCAACCCCCTCTCCTTTGTCTTTCTGTGGCTTCTGCTTTGCAACACTTGGACCCTGGGTCACTCAGAATGTATGGTGAGAATGCACAGGTTTGAACCGTAGGACATTTCCATTTTTATAGGACACATATGGTTAAATATCGGGGGATGGGATGAGGGATGACAGCATGGAATCACCTGGATTCAGAATGCCAAAAGGTTTTCTACCCTTGTTTGAGAGCGTAGAATGGGCTGAGAATTCCAGCAGGATTCAGGGCCCAGGAACAGCTGCTGCTTGGGTCAGCCTCTCTGGAGGCCTCAGCTTGATGGAAGGAAAGTTCTCGAACCTGATTAGGGCTCTAGCAAGAAGCCTACTCTAACATTTCACAGTTTGTGTTATTTTGTCCTGGTCAGGCACAGTGTCAAGTTGTCAAGGATACAAACAAAATTCAAAACAAGAATGAAGGGAGAAGGGGATTTGGGAAGAACAGGCTTAAAAAAGAAAGAAAGAATGAAAGCGCTCACAATGACATCTTGATTAGAAATGACAAACATAGCAATGGTATTAACTAGAATTAAAGGCAAATATCAAAACATGCTTCCTCATTTTAGGCCTAGATCTTCAGTCTTCAAACCCTCTATAAATTCTCCAGCCATCCCATCACTTCCTTTAAAAGGGTCATTTTAGGGGCCCTGGCTGGCTCAAGGCAGTTAAGCATCTGCCTTCAGCTTGGGTCATACTCCCAGGGTCCTGGGATCGAGCCCCATGTCTGGCTCCCCTCCTTCTCCCTCTATCTCTGCCTGCTGCTCCCCCTACTTGTGCGCTCTCTCTCTCTCTCTCTGCATCAAATAAATAAATAAAACCTTAAAAAATATTTATTAAAATAAGTAAATAAAAGGATAATTGCCTCCCCTATCTGGGCCTGAAGTTGCATTATGAAAATACATAAAAATGTCCTGAGTTAACTAAAAAGTACCTCAACTGTGACCATTCCAGAAATTAGGAGATTAGGAGAAACTAGAGAATGAAACTATATATCAACTCCCCAGAAGATAGTAATCTGCAGACTAGTGTGAACCGAAAAAAAAAAAAAAAAAAAAAAAAAGTGCCTCAAAACTCTCCAGCTATTAACCAAAATTTACCCCATGGTAATCCCAAACCCCTTATGAGATTGGTTTATTCTATGCAGGAAACTGAGGCTTAGGGAGATGGTCCCACTCGAGGTCGTCCAGCTAGCATCAACCAATTCTGAAGGCAGTGTCCATTCCCAACCCATGACACAGAGCCTGTCATCCCACTGCCCATGACTTTGTGGCAATCGAGTCCCCTAAAGTATATGACAGTTCTTCTGAAAAGTAGAATTTCACCTATTAGAGGACTAGGAGGGTGTCCCAACGAATTTTCTTAAGTCAGAGATAGGTCTCCCTTTTCCATATCATCGTGGCCAAAAACCTAACGAAAGTATCTGCAAGACAGTTGCAACCAGCAAATTCACAAGGACCCTACCAACATTCTAAAGAAAGCTTCAGTGAGAACCAAGAGGGGAGAAACCCAAGGGCGAGCAGTCAGGGAACTAATGACAGACACAGCCTGTCTCATTTTCATGAGAGCAAACACCATCACAAATGCTTTCAAAGGTCAAGTGCAGTGAGTGAGGTAATGCTGTTTGGGGAGTGAAATAAACATTACTTTGGTTTTGCTCTGGGAAAGGTTTTTTTTTTTTTTTTTGGTCTGTTTGTTTTTCTCTTTTTTCTTTTCCTTTTCTTTCTGTCTCTCAGTTTTGAATTCTTTACCCTTTTAAATCAAAATCGTTCTCACCACCCCCATTTTGCCCGGTCTCTGTGAAAAACGTTTTTATAGCCATCTCTCAAGCCTGCAGATTTTCTCAAGACCCTTCTGCTCAGCAGACACTATTTTCTTACCAGGCTGGAGATTTTAAGACTGTGGAAAATGACGTTGGATTTGACTTGGCAGAACCGAGGGGGCAGAGAAGGTGAGGGAGGGAGGGAGAAGGAAGGAAGGGTCTCCTGTTCAAAATAATCTTGATTTCCAACCCATAACACTGCGTAAGTTAAGCATTTTCGTAGATAGTCTTAACAGTTACACAAGATTTTTTTTTTTTTCCCCCTCTCTTTCAAAATGTGCTTTCAACAGTCAGGCTGTTTTCAAATGAACTGAAAGGAGTACTGTGTTCAGAGAGACAAGGATGGGCTATATAGCACATGCCTGGAGAGATACAAAAGCTGCTTTATTTAAATGTATGTTTGCCCTGGCAGGAATTCGGAAACCCACCTGTACATAATCCACACTGCGTCCCAGCGCTCTGAAGGCCGTGTACATGACTTCTCTTTTTCCACCCCATTTTTGCATGATGCAAATACTTTTGTTGGACAGGACCAACTGGGTGACATGTTGCGAGCTTTCTTTATGCGACTCCTCCGTCTCACCAGGACCTTTCTCGTGGAAGTTGTTCTTCCAGATGTAGGTGGCTGATTTGTCCCTGCCCATGACTTCACTAAAGATGTCCATCATATAGAGGTCGTCTTCCGAGTTCCCGTCTATGACCATGACGACTTTAATCCCCGGGTAGGTCAGCCTCTTCACTGATTGCAAACATTTTCGTAAGTAGTCTGGATCTTCTTGATATGCAGCGATGCAAAGAGCAACACTTTTATTCAATTTAATGGGTGTTTCTAGGGATTTTTTCATTTTTCGGTGCTCCAAAAAGGCAAACAGGCTTTGGATGATGAGGTGGGACGCTAAAAAGGCACCGTACAGTCCAAAAGAGAAATAGTAATTATCTGTTTGGATAAATTGGTAGCCGACAATATAAGCAGCGGTGATTCCGAGGAGGAGAGACACTCCGAAAAGCGTGGTTCCAATTATTCTCAGGATACACAGAAACCTCTCACAATGCATCTGGAATAAAATCAAATGATACTGCTGGTTAACCACTCTTGTCCCCTACTTGTTATAAACATGGCATCATGGGGAGTATTGAGCTAGAAGCACCCGAGAGCTCCAAGCTCACTTTCTCACTTAACCAGCTGCGTGACTTTCTATGCCTCAGTTTTCTCATCTGCAAAATAGGGTAAGGATGCCCTTCTGATAGACCCCAGAGGGCCGTTTCAAGAATCAATTGAGATGATGGTGGTGAGGTACTACTGGAAACCATACATGTCAAAAACATATGTGTTATTTTTAGCATTTTGGATCACTTACCTAAGGATACACTCTATGTAGGAGGCCACAGCTAGGTGTAGAACCTAATTGTTCTAGAGAGCAAGGCATTCTTTCTTCCTATACCACAGGGCCCTCTATCCCCCAATACTGACCAGTGAAAAATGCATTGGAGATTTTCCTAAATTTCATCTCCTCTCCAATGCAAATCCCTCAGCTCACACCCTCTCCATGCAGCCATCCGAGTTCGAAGATCTGGATTCTAGTACTAACTCTTCCAACAATTAGCTGTGTGTGACCTTGAGTCACTTTACCTTTCTGAGCCTCAGGTTTTTTAATCCGTTACATGAGGGAATTTAGACTCCAAATCTCTGCTGACATTAAAAGTTCTTTAAGCCTAGGGACCTGGCACATACATCTCTCAAGCCCCTGTAATTCTGATTTGTACTCCTTTGTTCAGAAGTCTGTTTCCTCCAACCACCAGCATAAAAAATCCTGAGGATCAGCAATCTTACTGTAACACAGTCAGCACACAGTAAGTGTTTATAGAAACCATTCATAAATTAAGGAACAAACAGCAACACACTGTAACATATTAGACCCGAAACACATTTCAGCTTTTAATGGTAGCCGGTTCCATACTCCTCTCTACAGTTTGTATTATCTCCTAATAAGGCTTTGAACAACCAGAGTATATAGGAGGACACTTTTTTTTTTTTTTAATTTCCTTGAGTATCTCCAAAGCTGAACCTGGCAGACTTTTGTTATTTTGTTTGTCTTCTGGGGTTCTTGGACCCAACTCTGGTGTGTGATGGGAAGGAGGTTTCCCACACACCCAACAAACAATTCTCCAGCAACAGTGGTTGTCCCACCATTTAACTCAATTCTGACACCATCCCCCCAACAGCATCAGACTCCTCAGGTTAAGGGTTCAGTCCCCCAGGACTGCCCCCATCTCCACAACTTCAGAAACCAGTCCCAAACCCAGGGGGTGACCTGTACTTCTGATCTACCAGTTCTATCTAAATCAGAGGTTCCCACGACCCACCTACCTTGGTTTTGATTAGTTTGCCAGAGCGGCTCACAAGAGAACTCAGGAAACCAGTTTACTCACTAGATTCCTGGTTTATTTTACGAGGAGCAGCGGCCAACAAAAAAGGTCTGAAGGAAGGGCATGGAGCTTCCATGCCTCTCCAAGAGCACCACTCCCCCCAAATCTCATTGTGTTCACCAGCCCAGAAGCCCTCTCAACTCTTCCCTTCTGCGTGTTTACGGAGGCTTCATTACACAGGCGTATCTGATTAAATCATTGGCCATTGGCAATTTGAACTCAATCTCCAGCCCTTCTAGACTCCCCAGAGGTCTGGGGGATGGGACTGGATGCTCCAATCCTCTAATGAAATGGTTGGCTCCACCGGCAACCAGTCCCCACCCTTACTTACTGTCTAAAAGTCACCCCATTAACATAACAAAAGACACCTCTATCGTCTCACTTCAAAATACCAAGGGTTTGGGGCACCTGGGTGGCTCAGTGGGTTAAAGCCTCTGCCTTAGGCTCAGGTCATGATCTCAGGGTCCTGGGATTGAGCCCTGCATCGGACTCTGCTCAGCAGGGAGCCTGCTTCTCCCTGCCTACTTGTGATCTCCTCTGTCAAGTAAATAAAATCTTAAAACAAAACCAAACCAAAACAAAACAAAACAAACAAACAAACAAAAAAAAAAAAACAAAAAAACTACAAGGGTTTTAGAAGCTCTGTGCCAGAAATAAGATGAAAACCAAATATTTATTTCTTACTATAAGCCATGATAACAATCCCCTACCCTGGAGTTTATGTCTTCCTCTTCCAATAATTAACTGTAATGAAGGATGTCACTGGTGTTTATAAACATGGTGTCCCCATCTTCAATCATTCACTCTGACTTTGGGGTTTTTGTCATATCTATATATAATTAATACTTGACCTTTTTCTTGAATTCAACCAGCTTTTGAAAACTAAATAAATCTATTTTAAGTGGAAACTTAAGCGATGATCTCTGCAAAGTTTGTTTTCCCACTCTATGTTGACTTAACCTTGAATGCCCACCCAGCACCTGGTATGATGTTGATTGTTACCCATTGTGTGGCCAACATGTCTCCCAGATCCAAGAGGCATCATTCATAGTCCAGTGCCTATCGTTACACACTAAGTTGGTCCTGAGTGGAAACACATTGTGCTTTGGGGAAACTTTGTGTGACTTCTCCATCAACCATGTTTCCCCTCCTAAGCACAAGATGGCTTGGGGTGGCTGGCTCTGGTGTTCCAGCTTTTGGAACCCTGACATGGGCCACTTCCAATAGGGACTTGAGGGAGGGTCTCCTGCCATCTCTCTTTTCGTTCCACAGGCTCGATGCGCATACCAACAAGGTCCCCGGGGTTTGCAGAGCCCAAAGATCAAGGAATCTTGGTTTTTGAACTGCCACATGGAAGGGAGCCAGCCACCAATCAGGAAGACCTGCCTTGGACGCTCAGTTAGCAAGAATTAATTGCTGAGTTTTGTTTGCTTATCCACTACGGATTTTGAGTTCACTTCACTCTAACTAATACAACCCAGGTAATGCAAAACAGCCTGGAGACCAGGATGCTAGCTTGTGGACATGATTTTCTTTTGTTAAGAGGAGATAATAGTATTTGTCAGGGCCCCTTCACAGAGCTGCAGTGAGAAGCCAAATCCTTATGAAAGGGTTTTTAAAAACCCAAAGCATGACAGTTTCAAGTATTGGCTAACAAGAAAGCTAAAAACAACATACACAGATGCGTGTTCCCCGCAACGCAGGACATCAGAGGCTGATAAAGGTAATCGGAACACAACGGAAAATTCTCAGAGCTGGGGAGCAGCGAAACGGTGAGTTCCCAGTGGAAGGCCAGAGAGCACAGCATCCCTTGTTAATTAAAACAGCTGACAGGATGCTGAAAACTCCCACCGGGCACCTTAACCAATGCCTAAAGGTGCGCGGAGCCCCAGACTTGGAACTTGTCATTTCCAAGATGTGAGTCATTCTCACAAGAGTGAAAAATTTCAAGGGGACTACAACGCTCTGCCAGGGAGAAGCTGAAGTGTGTGTTTCGCTTGTGTTTAATATTGCCAGAGCCAGCAAAAGAACTGCCTGCTATTCTTTTCCATTATTCACAGTTTCCTTGCTTTTATCAGCACACGCGGACAAAGAGCGTTTGCAGAGCATCTGCTGGCCACAGCTGAAGTGGGAACACCCTCTTACATCAGAGGAGTCTCCAGAAATGTCCCTTTGAAGCCTGGGAAAAGTTGCTAGTAAACCGCAGCAACACACTTAAAAATCGAACCTTTCTATTTCTGCAACGTATTGTACTGCTGCCTGTTATGACACATGCAGCATGTCGGTCCGGGCCAGAGGGCACAAGGCACATTTCAGAGCCAGCTTTACTGAGATGCATTGATCTCCAGGAGGGACACACAGTGTGTGCTGCTTTATAGTCCCCCCCCCAACCCCACCGCCCCCCAGGGCAATTTCAGAGATATGGGCACCATATGTGTGAGACTTTCTGAGTCTGAGACAATCCTCAATTCAGATACTCTGTTTCATAAGCAAAGTCTCCCTGTCAGACATACGGCTTTATTGTTAAATTGGAAAATATGGTTAGTTCCATCCTGGATCGTAGAGTTTATTGCTGCATGGAAAAAAGACTTAGAAATCATCTTCCGTAAACATTTAAAACATAAAACTTGGATTTTTTTTTTTTTGGCCCAAATCAGACTTTAATTGATTTTTAGGCGGCTATTAGACCTGATACCAGTTAATTCACTGAGTACTAGTCTTCACAGTAAATTGTAAACTAAGCCAAGTGTTAACGAATATCTTGATGTACCATAAGGTAAGTTCCACAAAGTCAACAGATTTTTTTTTTTTAGTCTATTTTCACTAATGTGCCCCAAGGGCATAAAACACTGCCTGGCTTATGGGTGGTATTTAGTAAATATTTGCTGAGTGAATGGTTGTAACTTTACCCATCAATATTATCATTGGCATCATTGTTCTACCAGCTAACATTCCCCATTGACTGTTCCAGGCACCAGGGCAAGTCTTGTCTGTTTTGTTGAGTAGCATGATCCTTTTTTATCTTAACCGCTTTAAATGGTGAATGTATTCTTAATCTCATGTTACAAATAACATCTACAAAGGACGAGGAAACCAGGACTCTCCAGTACAGAAGTAACTTGTCCATAGTCCCAAAACCAGGGGTAGGATCCACAGGGTAGCGTAATGCCAGATTCAAGTATTCTCCGTAAGTATTTGCTGAATAGATTTGACTCACCATGATGCAACAGGCACCAACCCTTTGTCCCTGGCTAATACAACATGCTGTGAAAAGAAATTTTAGCAATGAACCTCAGAAACTCTTTTCCTGCTGTTACGGAAAATGGGGAACTGAGAGGTACAGATACAAGATCAACCAACACTCCGAGAGGATTTCTGGGCTCCTACACTCTTCTATGTGGATGCAGCCAAAAGTGACATAGAAATTCGTTATCCCAAAGAAAGCTGGTGGTTGCATCCATTCATGTCTGCAGCCCAAATCCTGCTTTCCCATGAGAAAGGCACCCCTGCATTCACTGTTCCATCTGTAGAGCAGAGAGCAGCTTTGCTGTTAGCTCGCATACCCCGAGCTGGACTCCACAGGTCATTGGGTATCAGAACCTTTGTCCCCCTTGACCTGTTATTAACC